TGGGCCTCGTCGAGCTCCTTGCGGATGCGCGCGGCGCGGCTGTCGAGCGAGCGCAGGACCGGGCCCAGCCCCTTCCAGAAGATCAGGCCCAGGACGATCAGCAGGGAGAGGGTGACCCAGGTGTACTCGTTGCCCAGCATCAGCCTTGCCCTCCTTCGCTGCCCGCGCCCTTGAGGCAGGCTTCGACCGCCTTCTTGGCCTGGGCCTCCTTGGGTGCGCCGCCCAGCAGCTTGGCGGTGGCCGCGGTGGAGATCTCGGTGGCGACCTCCTTCAGGTTGGCCAGCGCCTCGGCCTTGGCCGCGGCGATGCGCTGCTCGGCCTCCCTGGTCTGGCCGCCGAGCTTCTCGGCGAAGTCGGCCTCGCGCTTGGCCGCCTTCTTCTCCCAGGCCGCGGTCGCCTTGCGATGGGTCTCGCGGGCCTGCTCGCGCGCCTTGGCCAGGGCGGCCTCGTACTCCTGGATGACCTGCTCGGCCTCGCCGCGCAGCTTCTCGGCGCGGGCCAGATCGTCGTCGATCTTGTCCTGGCGCTCCTCCATCGCATCGCCGATCCGCGGGATCACCACCCGCGACATCACGAGGTAGAGGATGCCGAAGGTGACGATGGTCCAGAAGATCTGGCCGACGAAGGTATCGGTCTGCGTCAGCTGCGGCAGGCCGCCGTCTTCCGCGGCCAGCGCCGGGCCGGTGGCGAGCAGGCTCGCAGCGGCGACGCTGGCGGCGGAAAGGCGGGCGGTGGTGCGGCGCATGGCTGTCCTCACCCTAACTGCTCCTCGAAAGGGCGACCCGGCCGCGCGCAGGGCATGCCTGCCGTCGACCGGGCCCCGAAGCTGCGCGGCGCCGAAGAGCCTGTGCCGCCCGCGTCGGCGGGGGCGGGCCCTGTGCGGCGCCGCGGCGTCGACGGCGGCCTTAGCCGAAGAGGATCAGCAGGGCGACGACCAGCGAGAAGATCGCGATGGCCTCGGTCACCGCGAAGCCGATCCAGATGTTCGCGCCGATCTCGTCCTTGGCGGCCGGGTTGCGGGCCACGGCGTTGAAGAAGTTGGCCCAGACCTGGCCCACGCCCAGGCCGGCACCGATCATGCCCAGGGTCGCCAGACCCGCGCCGATCATCTTGGCGGCTTCGAGTTCCATAACTCACGCTCCTCGTAATCTATCAGGTCGGTTGGAGGTCCTGCCCGGTCCGCGGTCCGCCGCCCGAGGCGGCAGCGCGGATCAGTGCATGTGGATCGCGTCGTGGAGATAGACGCAGGTCAGGATGGTGAAGATGTAGGCCTGCAGCACCGACACCAGGAATTCCAGCGCGGTGATGCCCACCAGCGCGGCCAGCGGCACCACGCCCGCGATGCCCATCAGCAGCACGAAGCCGGCAAAGACTTTGATCAGGATGTGGCCGGCCATCATGTTGGCGAAGAGACGCACCGACAGGCTGATCGGACGCGACAGGTAGGAGATGATCTCGATCGGGACCAGGATCACCGCCGTCCACAGCGGCGCGCCGTGCGGGAAGAACAGGCGCAGGTAGCCGGCGCCATGGCGCGCGAAGCCGATCACCGTCACCCCGATGAAGATCACCAGCGCCATGAACAGCGTGACCACGATGTGGCTGGTGAAGGTGAAGGACGAGGGGATCATGCCCAGCAGATTGCCGAACAGCACGAACATGAACAGCGTGAAGATGAAGGGGAAGTACTGCCGCCCCTCGCTGCCCACGTTGTCGCGCACCATGTTGGCGAT